AGAGAAATGAATGTACCAGTGTTGCTGCTTGCTTGCTGCTTGTGCTCATCTACCTTTCTCTGCTCTTAAATAGTCCAGGGCCCCACACCAGGTAATTGTGCTGCCCGTAGTGGGCTGGGTCTTTCTAAATCAACAATCAAGATAGTCCTCTATAATGCCCATGGGTCAGCCTCATCTAGATAGTTTTTCGTTAAGAGTCTCTTTCCAGGTGGTTCTGGGTTGAGTCAAGTTGACAATTCAGAGCACATCTTTATATCTGATTGATAACTTGACTCTGTATAGATTTTTAGGTTGGGACTTGTTTTCATATAGAATTTCAAAGCATTATTTTGGCAGTGGTGTTGAGATGCTTGATGCCATTTTAATTTTTTTAGCATTTGAATGTTGCCTTTTTTTTTTCTTATGTCTCTAGTGTTTGGTTGGTTTCTTGGTTGGTGTTATTTCAAAATGGTTTATGGTGCTTCTGTTTTAACACTGACTCCAGGTGGCATGTATTTATGTGTATGCATTTTTCATTTGTTCTGGATACATGACAGGCCTTTTTGATTTTCAATATTTGTTCTTCTGTTTTTGCCAGTATTCTTGAATTACCTCTTTGATTATTTTCTCCCCATCCCTATCAGTATTGGAGATTGAACCCAGGGCTCTATACATGATAAGCAAGAGCTCTACTAATGAGCTCTTGTTGTAGAGGTCCATCTTTTTAGCATGACAGTTTTCATCCTCATCAGAATAGCTGTGACTACTTGCAAGACCTACTCCTCTTTCATAAGACTGGGCTTGTTGACTTTTGATGTTCTCTCATAAAAGGAGGGGATGGGGAGGGTCATTTGATTCTCATCTGACATTCTGGCCTATCCTCCCACACCTCCTGGCCTTTTTAATGTAATTCTGCCTCAGTTGCATGCAGCCTAATGGTCTCAGGAGGTACTAGAGTATATAGACTGAGGAAGGTTAACAGGAATGGGGGCTCCATCTATACAATTATAGGAAAACCATCATTTTGTGCTCTGAGGAGGCCTGGATGCTTTTTGGTCACCCATACTGTTGTAAGTAAGCTCAGTAAACTCATTGACTTTCAAAGTTGGAATTTCTGGAAATCATGCTTTGGTTTGTCTGTTTTTGCCCTATGAGGAGGGGATAGATACTTGTTTATGCCTCCACAACAAAAGAGTTCCTACAGTAGCTATGCTGCCAGCTCTCATTTTTGTTTATTATTAAGACAGGATCTCACTGAACTGTTCTGGCTGGCCTTGAACTTGCCATCTTCCTGCTGTAGCCTCCTAAGTAGCTGGAATTGAAGGCCTGTATCATCAAGCCCAGCTTCCATTTTATTATTTTTTTATAGAAATTTCTAGAACATTTGGGTCTCAAGTACAGAATTTCTTATGCTTATTTATTAATTTTATTTTCATTTCTCTCACATTTTCAATCTGTTTGGATTTTTAAAATTATAGAATATTTCTTTAACTGTTTCCCAGTCTTTATTAAGGTGCATTAACATCTTAGTTTAAATTTCTAAGAACTGTGCATTCAGTTCTTGTAATATATATAGATATATGTATAATCTATATATACTATAGTCTTTGAGGATATGTTATTATTACTTGAAGCTTTCTTTAATGTAACAAAAACATTATTTATTCCAAGTTGCTTTTCTTTGTGTTTTTGTCTCTGCCTGTTACTATACTTATTTCTGTCTAGTATTTGATGATCTTTTGTATTGCAGAATGAAGCACTAATTACTAACTGGAACCCCTGGGCTGGAGTGGAGCTTGTTTAATGGTTATAGTGTCATGTAGAAAAATTGGACATAATTTATTTTTATTAGAGGATGATGGTTAGTTTCTCTGATTCCCCTTTCTTATCTGGCCAGTATGCCACAGAAGTCTTGTTAATCTCCTTTATACAGTATATAATCTTGTCAAAGTTCTAACAGAGTAAAAGAAGAGTTGATCTCATTACCAAGTGCATACTCTGTGAAGATATTTAGATTAATTTCCCATTTTTAGCAAGCACCCCTTTTCTTTGGTTATGTCTCTTCCTTCTGAATCCAGAATCCTTATTGGTCAGCTTCTCTAGTGAACTCTTTGGTATTCTGCGGAGATGAGTATGAGATGGTTCTTTCTTTAAAGGAAAGGGTCTGTGGTCATTAGATGCTTCTGCCTTGTCTTTTTATCTTCACTGACATCCCTGCCTTCTGAACTGACTGCTTTTTAAAAACTCTTTATTTTTCCATTCTTACTATAAACAAAATTCTTTCTGAGTTTCATTGCCCATAGGCACTTTACTGTAAGTCTACTTGTTGCTACTTGTTCATCAGATGTCTATCTTCTAAAATTTTGAAGACAGCTCTTGTGCTTTGAGAACTGTCCATCATTCAGGTCTTATGCTTATGCTTTTTTTTTTTTGGTAGAGTTAAATGAATAAATGGAGGCAAATAATGTAGTTTTGAGTCTTTAATATATTTTAAAATATTTTACTTCCATCATCACAAATAGATCATTTTCATTAGCTCCTTTTTCCATGCTGATGATATTAATAGTAGTAATCATTGCTTAATTATTGACTGCCAAGGGAAAGTCTTAGGGAAGCTAGAAGAATCAGGGTAGGCAAGAAAGTTGGTGTAAAAAATTAGGGTCAGTGTTGTACCACAGATGAAGAGCATATGGTAGGGGTGCTAGTTTATACAAAGGTACTATAACAAAAGAAATAGCAGTATTTTGTTTTGTGTTGTATTACAAAAATTTAAAGTCCATTCAATGGGAGGAAACTCAAGTATGGTACTGTAAACCTAGCCAAATACACATAGCTGGAAAGGTCATAGATCTTAGAGAAAACTCAAGGCTGTCACATCCCCAGACAAATGTAACTTCTTACTATGTGCAAAATACGGATCCTTAAATTCATAGACAAATGTCCCAGTTACCACCCATCAAAGAAGCCCCTTTTTCAAGAGACAGAGATAATTACAGAATCCTACAACTAGTTACACAGAGAGATTGTCTGTGACTTGCCCATGCCTAAGTGGCACATCTACGATGCAGACTCTACACCTAAGGCTTACAGAACTAATACAACAAGGGGGGAAGAGAACACTAATGCATCTTTCAACTCTAATTAATGAAGGTCCCTCATACAACGTAGGGCTTCAAGCCAAGGGTCACAAATGGCCACAATGCAGAAAATAGGAGTCTATAGAGTGTGGGTCCTTGGACAAGACTCCTGTATCAAAATGCACCCACCCAGGGCTCAGGGACCATTGTGAAAGAGGGAGTGGAAAGATTGTAAGAGCCAGGGAGGAGGGGTATGACCATATGGAAATAGTCCTATAGGCGCTTGGGGCTCTTCTCGTATGCACCTACAGCAATGGTGTCAGCATACACACACCCATGCAAACTTAATCAGACAAAAACGCAGCACAGAATTATGGAAATGAACAGCAGACCCCAATCTTAGTTGAACAATTATTGGCAGCTGATTACTGCTGGGTGAGGAAGAGCTTATCTCTTAAAAGGGAGGGGCTCTAGATAGGCCGACTGGACCCTAGTGAATGAACTTGCACCTAGGGACATCTGGGACACTAACTTTACATGATAGACCTTTGCACAAATGACAGAATGTATGAACTCCAGTGGGTGGGGCTATGGGGGGGTGCCAAAGGGGAAGGATGTATAAAAATGATTTTCTGTATGAAGTACACAAAAATTCAGTTAAAAAATTACAGACAGATTTATAATATTTTAAAATTATTTCATTGACAGCACAAGGAAAAGTTGTATTTCAGCAGTGCCTTTGGGACTCCTTCCATTCCTCCAGTGTACTATGACATCAATGGTTTTTAAATGTATATAAGAATACTTTGTATTTTTTCTTGTGTTTTTCTTCATTTTTTTAAATGAAGACTGAAAATTCATTTTTATGTATAATACAATGGTAAGAATTAAGTTCTCTGTAAATAGTAACTGACTACAGATCTCCCCCTCACACTGCAAAATTTAGTTAACACTTCTCATATATAATATCTTTTTGGTTTTTGGTTTTTGGCTTTTTTGCGATGTGGCCTCCCTGTATCCCCAGCTGGTCTGGAACTCGCTGTGTAGACTAGGCTGGCCTAGATCTCAAAGAGAGCCACCTGCCTCTGCCACCCAAGTGCTGGGATTAAAGGCATGTGCTACTGTGTTCAGCTTAATCTATAGTATCTTGATCTGTAAAATAAGAATAGTAATATCTGTATTATAATCCTTTGTGTGCATTTGTGTGTATAACATATGGTAAATCTTTAATAAACGTTAACTGATTAGAGGTGATCCCTCTCTCCTTTCTCTCTTCCTTATCAGAATTATGTTCTGTAGGCCTCTCTGCCTGTATAATCCTTACTTTCCTTTCATGACCCAAATCAAATTCTATTATTAAAATTAAGATTTTCCAACCACTTGATATGATAGGTTTTAAAACAATTAGTATGTAGTAGAAATATTAACATCTACTTTTTTAGTCACCTGATAAAAAACCCTTTTGCTTCCTTTTGCTTAAAATGATTGCATTTTAACTCACAGACATTCCTGAGCTGTTTTATTTCTATCTCCTCACTCTATCTGACCAAGAAATTTTCTTGACTCAGTTTTTCTATAAATGTCTCTGCCAAAATAAGTCAAACTTGTTTCAAAATGTAAAATTTATTGTACATTCTAAAACTATGTATGATTTTTTTAAACGTCCTCTGTGTTTTATGTAATGATTTATACATTTACTTTTATGTCTTGAACTTCACTAGTCAAGATCTGACTGCATGAGTATAATTATGAGAGTTTAACCTACTTATTTTAAAATCGCATCCTTTTACCTTTTAAATACTGAACTCTGAAACCTAACACAAATATTGTAAGAACATCTGAGGTAGATAATTAAAGTATAATTACGTTTAAATACCTTGGTGAAGGAGTATAAAAATTATTTAAATTCAATCAGCTAGTACATTTGCAGTTTTCTTTTATTAGGTGTGAAATCTAAGAATCCCCTGCCAACTCTTGAGGGCTCAATCCAGAATGTTGAATTGAAGTACTGCAGCACATCATTGGTCAAATGTGCCTCTGGGACCATGGGATCAATAAAAATTTGTGCCAAAGCCCCAGGTATGTGCAGCTGGACCGTGTAAAACTTTATTGCCTGTGTAGGAGAATTGGCCTTGCAGTTTACAAGGAGTGTTACTGAAACAAGAATTTACTCATTGTTCCTATGAATCAGAGGTTTTAATTTTTACATTTTTACCTAAAAATTTTAATAGTACAAAGAAGATACTGAATTTAACCAATTATTTTTATTTAAGGAAAAGAATTTGAATACTTTAATAGTTATGAAATAACAAAATTAAAAGAATATTTATTTCTAAACTTTTGGAGGAGCTGTGAGTTGTATAGGATTATTAAATGTTGAATCTAAATGATAGCATAATAGGTTTAAACATAAAATTTTAATGCTTCAAGATAAAACTGAGGTTGTTATTGTCTTCACCTTTTTTAGGGGGTGGGTTTTCCTATATCCCAAGTTGGCCTGGAACTCACTTTGGAGACCAGGCTGGCTTCTGATCTCACAGATAGTCTGCCTCTGCCTCCCAAGTGCTGAGATTAAAGGCATGTGACATCATGCCCAACTGTCTTCACCTTTCTTACAATGTTTTATTTCATAATGTTTTTCTTTTTTTTTTTCAGTGTCTATTTTTTTTAATTAAAAAAAATTTTTTTTACAATTAAAGTTACAGTTTTAAATATGTAAATATACCCATGATGCATAATGTTCACAGAAGCCGGAAGATGGTTTCGGATCCCCTGACACTGGAGTTACAGACAGTTGTGAGCAGCCACGTGGGTTCTGGAAACTGAACCTGGGTCTTCTGCAAGAGCAGTCAGTGCTCTTAACCTCTGAGCCA